GAAGAGCATACGCTCCATGAAGACAACCTCAAAACGTAGTCAAGTAAGTCATGATGAGTTGTGAGTATTCATCGCCTTGGTTTTTAAACTTGCCTTTGCGTTTTATACCATCTATTTAGTGGTAAGTTTCCATAACTTACATTTCAACAATGGCCGTGTTTAACAACGACCCTCAAAAAAAGTCCCTGAAATTCAGGGGCTGGTGCAGGCTGGTCGGGGCAAGGAATTGGGACAGGGCTGCTCCCTTTTCCTCTGAGGTTTCATCACTGGGGTAAGTGACTGGCAGCAGCTAGACTAGCCGGGACCCGTGCCAGCCCCTCCAGACTTCCCTCCCCGACCGTGGCTCCGGCGGGTCCTTCTTCCCTTCCACAGCACACCAGCTGGGGACCTGTTTTTCTCTCAAGATGGTAGAAAAAGTCAATGGGCTGATCTGGAATGGCTCATCATTTTACAGGCAAAGGAGCTGATCTATTTTCCCAACCCACATTACAAAGAAACGTGGGCACATAAATATTCTCCCAAAGGCCCTTCATGTTTGATAAAGATAAAGAAATGTATGCTTATTACACACAATGTTTTCATTTATCGATGTTAGTCTGAGAGTTTTAGAGAGATCAGATTTTAGAGATAGAATTGCCTTTTATGTAAACTAATTTAGTAAAAATAGATAGCATCCTGTCTTAGTGAGTTGGAATATAATTTTACCGTGTTAAATGATGATAAATGTTTGAAATGCCATACATTGGCTTTTCTGACATTATTTGTTAGTTTTATTATTTATTACTACCATGCCCCTGTCCAGAAATGCAACCCACATACAGCACAGCTGCCAGCAGAACATGTCGGTGAAAAACGACATGAATCAAGATTTTGTTTCTTTTTAAAAGTTCTTGTGACAAAAATATAACCATTTGAGATTTATACACAGGACAAGACAAATTTAGATAAGCAAATAATGAAAAAATAGGAATTACTTTTAATGCTCTCCTCACGCTTGCCTTAAAAGGCACTTTTCCACTAAGCTTCACTAATAGGAACAATCTAGAATTAAAAGGAGGTGGGAAATCTTGTCACTGAAGTTAACTGGTAAATGCCATGGCCAGGAAAGCAAGTGACAAGGTGTCATGGTGAGGACGGAGGTTACCTCCTGGGGGTCTGCCGGTACCATCCTCCTGGAGAGCCCCCTCCGCCGCCGGCTCTAAGCCCCCATCTGGGGCGCACGGTGCTTCCCGCAGGCGTCTGGCCTGCTGCTGCCCGGAGTGCAGACAAACGTCCATAACCGCAGCCGCTGGAGAGCAGAGAACCGGAAAGGCTGGCTGAGCCTCTCAGAGGCTCTAAAAGGTGCAGCTTATCGCCTTAGCATCTGCTGAGCTGGAAAGAATCCCTGCTTTTCAGCTTAGTTCCCCCTCCCCCGCCCGGTTAGCAAAGCAGCTACCCAAGGAGCTGCCATCCTAGTTTTGCAGAGCAAAGGAGAGGGGGACCATTAAACAACATCGCACTTGTTCTGGGCATCAAGAAATGCAAAAACAGAGCAAGCATTGCCAGGGGACAGGCACGATGTGGCTGGGGTCTAAAATGTCTAATAGCTTTTGGAAATGAATCTTAATGAAGAGACTCTGATCCAGGAACACATCCTACCATGGGGGGGGGGGGGCACCATGTGGATGGAAGGATTAATGATCTCGTGGATGAGAAGGCAGGATTTGGACCAAACACAGGGTTGCTCCCTTCTCATCTGAGGCTTTATTGCAAGATCATAGAAAGTGCTGGGGGCTGAGCCAGGAGCCTGACCTGGCTCCCTACTGGGGCGATTGGCAACTCACTTAATTCCCTTGCGCCATTTCCTCATCAGCAAAAAGGGATAATATAGTATCTGTCCACTTTCCAGGGCCACAGTGGGAAGCAGGAGAGTGATAGTGAGGAAAACCACCTGATTTAGAAAAGGAGACCTGGCTGTGGGGATCACTGATCGGTACCAAAATAGTAACATGACATCACCGCAGGGCGGGTACCGTTGCCAAACCCTGTTCTGCCGTAAGTGCATCGATTCATCTAGTCCCAGCAATTGCTCCTATGAAATGGAGCCTATTAGTATGCCTCTTCTCAGATGCGAGCAACCCAGGCACAGAGAGCTCGAAAAGCAGCCCAAGACACTGGGCCAAACTCAGAAGGTCCAGCTGCAGAACCTACATTCTCACCCGGCCGGCAGGTGCACCCTGGGTGGGCTTGGGCAGCCGTGGGTTCCCTTGCCTACTTTCCTCTGAAATGACTCAAAATGCTTAGCCACCGCAGTGATGTTTCCTAGTTTTCTGTTTGTTTACAAAATGTGAATGATTTTCCACCCCTGTGTTTACCATCCTCAGTCTCCACACCCCAGAGTTGCCCCATCCCCATCTCTCCAGCCAAGCGGGGAGAGCAACCAGACACGCCGGCCATTCCGTCGCTGCCCAGCTGACCAAAAGCCATTCGGGCACTGGCTTACTCCAGTGGCGAACAGACAAAATACAAGAAGGCACAGCCCCCGAAGCAAATGTCACTCCACTGCACACCTGGACAGGTCGCGTGTCCCTCACGTTAATTCTCAACAGGACTGCAAACAACTGAGGTCGCTGCGAAAGCAATTTAACCTTTTCATGGGCTCTAGAACTGAATGATCAAATACTCGCCCCCCCCCGCTCCAACTCACCACGCCAGCCAGAGTGCCCCGTGCGCGTCTGTGCTTCCCGCGCAAGTTCTCTCTCTGGCAGATCCTTACCCATCCCTTCCTTTCGAGCATCCTCCAAGTCCAGGAAGTTAGCTGCTCCCCGGAAAGATGGCAGCCTGGTTGTTGATGAGTGAACAGTGACTTCAGGAAGGAAGCCTCCACGCCGTGGGGAGGACCCTGCCTCCGAATCTTAGCTCGGCCACGTGCATTCCTCGTCGAGGATGCAGATCGTGGGGATACCTACCTCCTGCGGCGGTTGCGGGAGCGAGGGCAGGTAAGCCATGCAAAGCATCTCAAGTACAGCAGCGACGGTTCTGTCCGAAGCCAGGAGGGCAGTCATGCAAGCCACACGCCTCCCGCACCAGGGGACTCTGGGCATTACACTTCAGACATTTCCTCATTTTGCCTGCAAGCGAAGGAGAATCATTTTCCAACACCAGGTGCGCTTTTCCTTATGAAAGCAAACGACTCCCTCTCCCATCATCTTAGCTGACGTGCGAAAGTGTGCCTTGACAGGCAATCTAGAAAACAGTGACCGTGCCCTCTGCCTGGTGCCGTTAGTCTGATGTAGCATGTGCCATACGGCACGTGTTAGTATTTGATAAAGCTTCAGGAAGTTTTTCAAAGGTTAGTCCCCTCGAAATCCTTCCAAACTGTTAGTTTACACATTACCTGACGTAGCAGAAGAGAGGGTGAGATTTCTGTGCACCCTTGAATCCCCAATGTTTTATATAGATCCGCACCTGAAAGGATTAACATTTTATGAACAAAAGCCAGCCAGTGCAAACCCAAGTTATTTAGGGCAGCATGACCCACCGGGACTCAGGCATGTTACTTTGCTAGAATATCTGTTCTCTCTCCCTCTCTCAATTCTCAATGTTCTCTCTTTCTCTCTTTCCTACATACTCACACGCAATCCTTTGCAACGTGGAATGGAATCACCCTCAAAAGATCCAGAAAATGCCTCCAGCAGAACAGAGGCTCTCCTCTGCGGTGTCCAGTTGCCGTGATGGAGTTGAAAATGTAGACACATTTCACTTTAAAAAGACGTGGGGGTGGGGCTGGGTGGGGTCTCGTACAGACGCGCAGACTTCCTCTGTGCTCATCGGCCGGACTGCTGTGGCCAAAGGGAGGAGTCGTGCCTGCCGTGAACGGTCCTGGACCCTGCCCCGAGCAGCCGGAAGGAACACAGGACTCTCCCTGATGAGACAGAACACCTAACTAGAAGGCACGTGAGGTAAAGGCTTCAGCTTGCATGAGGAATGTTTAGCTGGCGCAACAATGAATAGGAAACCCGAAAAACTCTTCCAAGAAAAAAGGAAGCCATTGCAATTTCTTTCATTGAGGAAAAGGGCAGTTTAAAAAGGAGGAAAATCGTGTGCTCATTTGGGAAGCCTGAAAACCCTTAAAATAGAATATAGGGCATGTTAATTAAAACCTTAGCAGATGGGAATTAAACAACCACTCGTGTTTGTGGGGGACTGAGAGAACAGTGACTGAGCTTGAGTGGATATAAGAGCCTATTTTTATGTTTTTACTCCAGCCTGGTACTCTCTTCGCTGCTGTCACTTTTTTTTTCTTTATGTGCCTTTCTTTGAAGTTAGGATCTTCATCTGAATGTGCTGTGATCCCATCTCTATTAGGTTTGCTCTCCCATTCCCTTAAATGAGGGGAGGTGACACGGAGTCTCGCTCAAATCTGTCATAAGGATGCTGTCGTCCTCCCCAAGTGGCCCAGCCCTCTGATGTGTCACTTGGGTAACTGGTTTCCACCAGGGGTCAGCACCGCTATGTAAACACCCCTAGATATAAGAAGTAGCAAAAAAGTGGTCATCATTACAACTGTATAAATAACTTCTGAAAACTGATTGGAATGTACATGAATGTGTGTCCCTAAATACTGGCTATGTCAGAATTACCTGGAAGCTTTAGAACACATAGACTCCGGGCTTCTGGAAATTCTGGCTCAAAGGTTGGGAGAGAGCCTAGAGGTTTGAGCTCCAAGTCCAACAGCCGTCCCCCATGTGTTTTCAGCGCCTGGCACAGGGCTGGTGCCAATCTATAGGGCAGGGGACACATGACCGACTCACATAGTTGAAATGTCAGCCCCTGACGAGGGATTAGGCTTTGGGCATGGCTCTGGAGGACACATGGATGAAGTAAGTGCCTGGGAAGGACATTTGTTCTCAACAGGAAAGAACTTTTTAACAAGCAGAACAATGGAACAATTGATCTCAGGGAGCCAGCATAACAGAAAATGGGCCAGACCTGGAGTTAGAAGACACCAGATTGGACCAAAGGTTTATACAGGGTCAATAAACAGGCCAGGTGCGGTCTGTCTGCCTTTCTTCAAAGGTGTAGACCTCTGATCTCACAGCATTTTTCCAACTGAACCTAACTCAGCCAGTGGTCCTCACCATGGAGGAATCCATCCCTCCTCCCAGGGACCCTGGGCGGTTTGGAGGTCTTGTTGTTTGTCATAGCGAGGGCAGAGAGCAATTGTTATTTAGTGCATAGAGGCCAGGGTGGGGGTTGGGGGGGCTACCAAACACTCTGCGTTACCCAAGACAACCCTTCACAGCAAAGAGCAATCCTGCCCAAAATGTCACCCAGGCTGAGCCTGGAAACCCTTGTATTGTGCAGGATAGGAGTTGCAGGGTGAATTCTCAGGACACCTTTTTTTTTTTTTTGTAAGGAAACTACCCACAGTGTGGGGCTCAACTCATGACCTTGAGATCAAGAGTCACATGCTCTACCGCCTGATCCTGCCAGGGGCCACAGGGTCAATTCTAATTTCCATCCTACGCACACCGTCTACGAGCTGGGTGATCACTGCCTCCTTGGCCTCAGTGTCCTCGCCTGTAAAATGGAGTAGATTAGTGTTTCCAGACTGTCCTATAGATAGAGCCGACATGACACCCTCTGGCTCCATCAGGTTCCTCCTGGGAGCAGACCCAGAGTCAAGGATTTGAGAAAGGATTTGGGGGATGCAGGGATGGGGAGGAGGAGAAGAATCATCCAGGAAAAGGTGGGCAGCCGGCAAAAGGTGTTCTGCCCAGCCAGCTGCTGCCGGCCAAGGCAACTTGCGCCTGTGGGGCAAGGCTGGGAGATGCGGCAAAATACACAGCTCAGAATTATCCCATCCCAGGTTCAAAGGGCTCCCGGAGGATTCCAGCACTACAGCACGGAGGCAAAAACCAGCAGCTGGAGGATGGAGATGCGTCCGAGAGAGGTGAGGTGCCCAACAGCTTCGAGATCCAGGGGAGAAAGTTCTGAGTGGTCTAACTTGATCATGAGCTTGCCCTCTAGGTAAGGCTGGAGCACGTGAGAAATATCCCACCAAAACATGAGGAGGAGGGTTGGGAACTGAAGGAGTGCTGGCACTACAACCAGCAAGCGTACTGGATGGCTTTCTTCCCCATCCTGGCCACCCTGTGTGTACATTCTTATTTCCATCAACACAATTTCAAAATGGACGCCCATCCTCTCTAGGATGGAGGGTGGCCTAAGTCCTACTGGCTATTGCCTCTGGAGGGAACGGAGCTACTCCTCTCTAATTTGGAAGCACCAGATGAGGTTCATGCCTCTCCCTCAGTGGGCATGTGCTCCCAGGTGACCGCGGACAAGAGCCCGATTGGCTGTTTCATCACTGCTCACCGTGCTCTGCTGCTCCCCGGGACTGGGAAGGGGAGGCTCACTGCTTTTCATATGACTGTCACCAAAACTCTACCAAGGAAAGATTGCTCGTCGGGCAAATAGAAGTTGTGTCCACTGTACTTACTTAAAGGGGAGACTGTGTGAGGACTCCCTTCCAGGGGGCTGGGGATTCATTGCAGAACTAGATGTTTTCTAAACACCCTGGTAACCGACACTCAGGGATGCATGGGATTTCCAGTGTGTTTGGTCAGAGTGAAACCCAATTCCTTAATTTATGGTCCCTCAACTCTCTGCTAACACAGCGGCTCCGGGTTCATAATCCTTTCTGTCAAATGATTTTAGGCTGCTTCAACACCCCTCATTGGCCAGACACCA